TATAGGTGTCCTGAATTCAAAGCCCACATCCCTAACCTCTCCTCCTGGCTAATTACAGAGGGAGAAGGTAAACCAGTTACATAGCAATAGCTACCTTCAAAAGTTACCATGGTTTTCCCCTTCAGGAATGAGTACTGTGTAGTTCTCAGAATTTCTCTGGCAAATACTGTAGAAAAAATTGGGGTATTGCAGAGTTTGAACTCAGACTTTGGTTCAGATTTTAATGTTGCCGTATACTGGCTTAACTTCTGGAAACATGAGTTTCTTCACCTGTGAAATGCGGGCACGACTATGGTTTACAACATTATCATGAAGATTAAATGGTAGAATGCATGTGTGGCTCTGAGCAACCTGGCACGTAGGAAATTGCCAATCATGCTGCTATTGCTGCTGCTGCTGCTGCTTCTATGTTCGCTATTGCTGCTAGAAATTGAAGCCTGAGTCATAAATAACAGGCAGTTAATATGTGAAAAGAAACCTCTGGAAGTGCAAAAATCTAAAGCTGAAAAGTGGCTTGGACTCAGAAACAGTCAAAACAGTTATTCATCAAAAGGACGCGAAGCATTGTGGACACCAACGTATAGTGATCCTAATGGCCCAGGTCTGTTTCACGGCTCTAAATTCCCACAGCGACCTCCATTCCCCTGAGAACATTTCTGTGTATTTCATTAGGATTATTCATCACTTTTAATTGGGCATGAGAGCTGCAACAACAGTGTCTCCCTAAGTTTCAACATGGACGTGCACATATGCCCTAGATCAAAGCATGCCTCTGTTATGGAGCACTGATTTCTATAGGACTCTAAAAGGTCCTTAACACATCAAGTTTGTACTCTAGCTTATGACTATTTTGCCATGTTGTATTGTAGAACTTTCTATTTTCACCTGGGAGCTGGAGTTGAAGACACCGTGTTTTCATGAAAAGAGGTGGGGTTTTAAACACTCCTCCTGGGTTGAATATCCAACTTGGCTGCACAATCAGTGACCTCGAGCAGTTCACTTAACCTTCGGAGACTATGTGTCTTCTGGTGTGAAATGGAAATGCAGTGCTTTCTCACAGGATTTTTGTTAGATCATCTGCTCATGCCTACACCTCTGCCTGACCTCTAAAACTTAGAGCACCCCCGGGGTCATTCCACTTATTCCCCAAATTATCACACCCACTTCCATGGTTTATGAAAGCACCTGTATGTTGGTACCTGCCAACTTCATATCTCTAACTTGTGCTCTCCCCTCAGTTCCAGACTCATTTATCTACTGCCTCTCTAACACAACCATTTGGAAAGCTAGGACATTTCACATCACCCTGTCATTATCCGGCAGCAGTCCCCAGCCCCCATTCCTTGTATTCTGCCAACCCAGTCTTCCCTCATGCTTCATTTAAATAATGGCACCTTTTCCCCACTGCCTCCATTGTACCCCAAATATGTTTGAAATCTATTGCATTCTTTTCATCTTCGCTGCTACCAATCTAAGTCAAGCTAAAATCTACGCTACTCCCCTTCTCTGCTATTCTTCTGCAAAACTTCCTTTGTCTTCATAGATTTCCCTGTGCATTTGTCTTCTAT